GAAATGCTCCAAAATAAAAAGTTGCGGGGAAGTGTCTATACAGGGAGATCCTCCAAGAACTCAAATTCTTTAAAAAAGAAGATTTAGGACATGTCACCTGGTAAAGAACCCTTGAACAGGCAAGATGCAGGTTGAAGGCAAAGGTATCAAGAACTGGGTAGTGAAGAAGGGAGGTTATTCATACCAGACAAAGCTTTGTTGTAGAAAAGTCTACATATATTTCTTTCCTTGCTGTGTCAAGTGTATTTTTTATATATTTTAATTCTCCCATTCTTCTCTCTTTCTCTCCACTCTTGTGTATAGTGTATATTGGTGGTAATTAACTTTACAGTGTAGTTTGTAGTTTGCAAAATATTGAGATGGGATGGTAAAGGAATTGCAGGGGGAATGGACATCATCTCGAAATCCTGGACTTGGAAGTGGATGTGATCATTGATAAGATTGTGAGTTGTCTCCCTTTGGGAAATGAGTGAATGTATTTTGGACAGAAAGAGGCATAGATGTATTATACCAGGGATTATATATATATATATATATATATATATATATATATATATATATATATATAATATAAAATAATACCTATGATATTTTTAAGAGTAAATACTAGAATAAGGACATGCATGGACATTGGACATCTAAAACAGGGGACTGGGCTTCCCTGGTGGTGCAGTGGTTGAGAGTCCACCTGCCGATGCAGGGGACGCGGGTTCGTGCCCCGGTCCGGGAAGATCCTACATGCCGCGGAGCGGCTGGGCCCGTGAGCCATGGCCGCTGAGCCTGCGCGTCCGGAGCCTGTGCTCCGCGGCGGGAGAGGCCACAGCAGTGAGAGGCCCGCGTACCGCCAAAAATTAAAAAAAAAATTAAAAAAAAAAATAAAACAGGGGACTGCAGGGATATTTGTCTTTTTTTTGTCTGTGCCGTGAGGCTTGCGGGATCTTAGTTCTCTGACCAGGGATTGAACCTGGGCCCACAGCAGTGAAAGCGCAGAGTCGTAACCGCTGGACCACCAGGGAATTCCCGTGGCATATTTGTCATTTTTTTGGCTGTCCAATGACAACTTGTCCTCCTATTTTTGGGAGGTGGTATCTGTAGGATATGTATAGCACTATCCAAGTTGAAGACAGAAAGCCCTTCACTCCGCCTCTGGCTACCTTGGTGAAGCAGGTATCCCGGGTTTAGTCTGATGCTTCAGTTTCACCATCTAGCCCCCTTTCTCCACCCAGACATGGCAACCCTGAGTGGTTTCCCAGGGTCCTTGGTCTGATGCCTGATGCAAGGTAGGTGGGGAGCACTTCCAGGGGACCCAGGACAAGAATGTCCCTCTTTCACGGCCACTCTGTCCTCACTTCAGGTCCAAGCTGAGGTGCCTTCTTCCAGCTGGGTGAAGCTATAAGGAAGATGTCCTTTTTCTTGTCTTCCCCTCCTGGGCAGATGGGGACAAGCCACTCAAGCACTGAGGGGGAACCTGCAGGTAAGACGGTGCTGGCCTTCAGCTCCTCACCCTTTGCCTTCACACTTTACCAGGGTCTGAAACTGAAACCCTGTTGGGGGAGAGGGTTGCAGTTGAGTACAGGCTTTGGGGTCTCACAGTGGGTTCAAATCCCACTACAGATAGTACATCTCCTATTCTGTAAATGATGGCAAAAATTTCAGATTGAAAACAAAAAGTTTGGTGGGAACGTAAAATGGTACAGCTCCTATGGAAAACGGCAGTTCCTTAAGAAATTAAATATAGAACGATCATGTGATCCAGCAATCCCACTTCAGTGTACACACCCAAAAGAAATGAAAGCAGGGACTCAAACAGATATGGGTGCACTGACGTTCAGAGCAGCATTGTTCACAATTGCCAAAGACAGAAGCAACCCAGGTGTCCATTGATGGATGGATGGATAAACAAAATGTGGAATATACAGACAATGGAATATTATTCAGCTTTTTAAAAAATATTTATTTATTTATTTTTGGCTGCGTTGGGTCTTTGTTGCTGCGTGTGGGCTTTCTCTAGGTGTGGTGAGCAGGGGCTACTCTTTGCTGTGGTGCGTGGGCTTCTCATTGCGGTGGCTTCTCTTGTTGCAGAGCATGGGCTCTAGGCGCGTGGGCTTCAGTAGTTGTGGCTCACGGGCTCTAGAGCTCAGGCTCATTAGTTGTGGCGCACCGGCTTAGTTGCTCCGCTGCATGTGGGATCTTCAACCAGGAATCAAAACTGTGTCCCCTGCATTGGCAGGTGGATGTTTAACCACTGTGCCACCAGGGAAGTCCTCAGCTTTTAAAAAGAATAAAATTTCAACACATGCTACAGCACGGATAAACCTTGAAGACATCATGCTAAGTGAAATAAGGCAGTCACAAAAAAACAAATAGGGAATTCCCTGGTGGTCCAGTGGTCAGGACTCGGTGCTTTCACTGCCCTGGTTCAATTCCTGGTCTGGGAACTAAGATCCCATAAGCCGTGAGGCTCAGCCAAAAGAATAAAACAAACCCCCAAACTAAATACCGTATGATTCCACTTGTATCAGGTCCCTAGAGTAGTCAAATTCATAGACACATAAAGTAGAAGGGTGGCCACCAGGGGCTGGGGCAGGGGGTGTGGGGAAATGTGGAGTTAGTGTTTAATGGGTACAGTTTCACTTCGGGAAGATGAAAAAAGTTCTGGAAATGGATGGTGGTGATGGTTGCAGAATAATGTGAATGTACTTAATGCCACTGAACCATATGCTTAAAAATGGTTGAAATGGGGGCTTGCCTGGTGGTGCAGTGGTTAAGAACCCGCCTGCCAATGCAGGGGACATGGGTTCGAGCCCTGATCCGGGAAGATCCCACCTGCTGCGGAGCAACTAAGCCCGTGCGCTCTAGAGCCCGTGCTCCGCAACAAAAGAAGCCACGGCAATGAGAAGCCCGCGCACCGCAATGAGGAGTAGCCCCCGCCCGCCGCAACTAGAGAAAGCCTGCATGCAGCAACAGAGACCCAACACAGCCAAAAATAAATAAATAAATAAATATTTTAAAAGGTTAAAATGGTAAATTTTGTGTTATATATGTTTTACCAGAATAAAAAAAACGCATCACCTTTAAAAAAAAAAATCAGTGTAGTCAAGAAAAATGCCTCCTGGTCTAATTTTGCCCTCCGCCCCTGGTATGAAATCTCTGCCTAGAGGTAGAAAAGGCTGGGGGTGAGGTGGGAGTCTGAGATTTGTAGGGTCAAAAGGATGGAAAAGAACCAGCAGAGAATGGAAGAGGGGTCACCGAGGCCGGCATTGGCCTCCAGCTGCCCACGTGGTCTGTACCAGTCAGACACCAAGCCCCACCCCAGCACTTTCCCCTCCTCTCAGTCCCCACTGTCCCCACGCGGAGCCAGCCCTCTTCCTGCAATGGCTTCTTCCTCTTTGATCTTTGGTCCGTCTCCCACTCGGCCTGGCTGGTGACCCTTCTAAAACCTGGGTCTGACCCCCCGTCTCTCCTGCTTAAACTATTTTAGCAGCTCCCATGGCCTCAGCTTCAGCCTTGCAAGGAGAACTGTTCTAAGCCGACTCCGACTGTTTTCCAGCTTCACAGTCCTGCCTTTCCCGAGCCCCGGATTCCTTTATGTCTCACACCATAACCATGTTTGAATACCTTCCATGTGCAAGCTAATAAACGTTATCCCTTATTTGCTTAACAACCCTGCAAGGTTGTTAGGTAGGTATCACTGACTGCATTTTAGAAATGGGGACACTGAGCCTCACAAGGCTAGGTTGGACTCAGAGACCTTTGCTCTTTTTGCCACGTGTCAGATCCTCTCTGTTATTCACTCTGGTGCCTCAGTGCCTTTGCTTATGCGTGAGCATAAGTCCGTCAGCCCTCAGGTTTGGCTCAGAATCACAACACCACCACACCCTTGCCCCAGACATTACCGATCTTGGTGTTTTCTTCATAGTGTTCAACACTATTGGAAATTTACTTGCTTACAGATTTAATATCCTTCCCCCCACTAGACTGTGAGCTCCGGGAGAGCAGAGGTTGCATCTGTCTGGTGCCCCAGCACTTGGAGCATGTCTGATGCACTGCAGGTGCTCAATAAGCAGCGCTGATGAGATGGGTCTGCTGATGAGCAAGGCTGATCCCTCCCAGCCCCAGGCCCAGCCCACCCTCCCGTGTGTTCCCTCAGTCCTCTGACGCCCAAGAAGCTGTTGGTTCCACTGTGCCAGGCCTGTGGTTACTCCTTGCCTCTTGGGCCTCCCTGACAAACCCCAGCCCCCAGGGCCAGCTCCTGGCCTACTCCGGTGCTTGGCCACCTCTTGTCAAACACCCAAATTAATGTCAGAATATCCCCAATTGGCACTTGGTTCGTTCCTGCTTCATTCTCACTACGGGCTAGGAATGAGGTACCATCTTCCAGAAGGCAGGCCCTGCCCTGTTCAAGGCCCTCTGGGGCTGGGGTCTCCCCCAGGGTCAGCCCACAGCTCCCAGAGCCTGGCCTGACTTCAAGAGGAGCCTGGGGGCAGGGTACGGTGAACACAAGTACCAGCAGCAGCAAGTTTTATTGCAACCAGAATCCCCTGGTCATGTGGGAGGGGTGGGGCGGAGGGACATCAGTCGGTCACTGATGCCATATTCCCAGTTAAGGACACAGAGCCAAAGATCCAGCTGGCTGTGCCCCACGTCTTCCCTCACCCTCCGCCCCCCAGCAGGGCGTTGATGGGGCTGAGGCAGAGGGAGGTGAAAAGCAGAGTCCATTTCAGCAGAGCCTTAGTCCCAGGGGTCTGAGGAGCAGTTGGCGGTGGGGGTCCTGTTGGCCCAGGAGGCACAGGGCACTTTGGGCTGACGTCTACACATATCCTCGGGGGGCTTAGGGGAAAGCAAAGAGGCCACTCTGTCCACAGGGAGAGGGTGGGAGGGAGGGAAACAAAGGCTCAAAGTGAGAAATCACTGGCCAGCAACCAGGCAGGTGGGACCTTGGGACCCTGACTTCTAGATCAGGGCCGTGTCCACCAACTGCCTCTGGCATTCACCCCAGCCTGGCCATTCTTGGGTCCTATGTGGGGATCTGCAGGTGGCCCAGGTCCTGGTCCATGATCTGGAGAACATCGTCCAGGATGGAAGGCCCCAGGTCTACGTGCAGGGAGAGCAGGGAGCTGGCGTGGGACAGGAAGGGCTCCTCAGCCCTAGACTCGGGGCTCAGCCCACTGTGGGTCGAGGCAGCCTCTGAAATCCGCCAGATGTCCACACTCCCTGCCTCCTGCGGGGAGGGCTGTGGGGAAGGCTGAGGGCTCTCCAGGTGCAGGCGAGGGGGTTTGGGTGGGGCCTGGGTGGCAGGCAAGGTGAGCGCCTGGGGCCCGCCGATGACCGGGAGGGAGATCGCGTTCTTGAGCAGAGGGGATGGCCCGTCGGGGAGCTCCCGCCCGCACAGGGTGGCAGTGCGCGTGAACTGGAAGGGCAGCTCAAAGCCACCATCCTCCTCGGCCTCCTCGACCGCCGTCCCCGGCAGGAGGTGGAACTTGCCTTGCAGGAAGGAGATGTCACCGAACATGTCACTGCCGCCACCACTGCCAATGTGAATGGTGTGGCGGAAGTCCCCCAGTGGTGGGCTGATCATGTCTGAGGACAGCAGGTCCCGCAGCTTCTCCTTCTTGCCTTTGCGGCTGCCACGCTTCAGATAGATGGGCACCTTGGTGGACATCGCGACCTCACCACCCAGGCCGGGACAGTCTGCTCGCAGGACCACGGCCTCCGCTGCCTCCTCTCACCACCCTCAAGAAACACCTAGAGGGAGGTTTCCAGACACCAAACACTTGCCAAGTGCGTGTGGTGTGACCAAAGTTGGCCCAAGGGATTTGGAAAAGAAAGATAAATGATCGATGAAGTCAGAGGATCGAGATAACAAAAATCACTGTCTCCCAAGAGGGTTGAAAACTCGTCTGAAAACTGGAAGCAGGAAGGCGCAGAGCTCGTAGGCAGTGATGCTCTCTGGGCTCGTCCACGCCAGCTTCTCTCTGGTCCAGGGCTGAGGAGCTGAAACATCAAGGGTACAAGTCAGGGACAGAAGGACAAAGGCAGAGGCATCCGTCTCGTTTCTGGGTCTCTTTCATCAGCCCTGGGAGCCCACGTGGGGCTGCACTCCTGTGGGGAGCCCTCCTGGCCGAAGCCTGTGTTCACTCACAGAGTTGTTGCACCTCAAGGCCTGGATCAGCAGCGCCAAGCCCCTCCCTCCGTGAGTGGGGAACCTAAGCGACAGGACTGAAGTCACATACAAAGCCCTGGCTCTGGTCTCTTGCCCTGAGTCCCCAGCTCTGCTCGTCACTGTGGTCTGCACTCAACTGTGCCCAAGACATGACCAGTGCCAAATTGTCTGGGGGTCTCACAGATTTGTCTCAGCTCCCGACTTGACGGAGGATTTTGATCTTGTAACCTCTGTCTCGTCCTCCCAGGCCTGGCACAGCAGGAGTTCAGCCAACAGTGCATAACGACCGACACCTCCCATTTGGCCCGATCACATCCTACTGGAAGTGAGGTCACCTGCTCAGAGCTTCCCTTTTCTCCTCTCCATTAGGAGTTCCTTATGGGCAGGACCTAAGCTTAATGTAGTTTCTGCCCCTCCTCCCTGCCCCAGCGCCCAAGGGGACTATGGAGTGGGGGATACAAATATCTGGGGGGTGGCAGTTCTGCTCTGTGCCTGGAATTTCCCTGAGTTCTTTGCACACACATCTCATTTAATCATCACAACCACCCTCCTGTCATTCCCATTTTAAAATTAGAGCTATCAGGGAATTCCCTGGCAGTTCAGTGGTTAGGACTCAGCGCTTTCACTGCTGTGGCCAGGGTTCAATCTCTGGTCCGGGAACTAAGATCCCACAAGCCACCAAATAAATAAGTAAATAAATAAATAAAATTAGAGCTATCGGACATTTTGGAGGGATTCCCATAAGGCATTGCAGAGAGAGAGAAGCAAAATGAAAAACTGTAGTCTAGAAGATTCCATGTTTTGAAAACATTGACCAGCCCTCCTCCCCACTCCCTGAACATGCATGTATGTGTACCTACATATACAGGTCTGCACAGGATTATATTCGATATAGGAACAGAGAAGAATATAGAAGACTGGCACTAGGTTGTCATATGGGCTACGTAGACTGGGGTAGAGGGCAGGGATGGGGTGTGGGGCTTGTGACATGGGAGGAAAGTTGTCCTCAGAAAAAATTAATATCTGGGCCCATTACTAAGAAACGATATATGTAAGCCAAATATGAAAGGATGGTCACCAAAATGTTGATGGTGGTTCTCTCAAAGTGGTAGAATTTCAGGTGACTTCCCTCTCTTGTTCATACTTTTATAAGCTCAAATTCTTTTTTTTTTTAATTTTTTTTAAAGGAACTCTTTATTTATTTATCTATCTATTTATTTATTTATTTTTGGCTGTGTTGGGTCTTTGTTTCTCTGCGAGGGCTTTCTCTAGTTGCAGCGAATGGGGGCCACTTTTCATCACGGTGCGTGGGCCTCTCACTATCGCGGCCTCTCTTGGTGTGGAGCACAGGCTCCAGACACGCAGGCTCAGTAGCTGTGGTGCACGTGCCTAGTTACTCCGCGGCATGTGGGATCTTCCCAGACCAGGGCTCGAACTGGTGTCCCCTGCATTGGCAGGCAGATTCTCAACCACTGCGCCACCAGGGAAGCCCTATAAGCTCAAATTCTTAATAAGAAGCATGTATTATTTATGAGCACATATTATTCATGTAGTCAGAAAAAAATAAAGATATTTTTAATGTGGAAAAAATAAATACACTCTGGAGGGGTGTCGTGCAGGTTTGACAGAAAAAGGAAGTGGAGCAAGCACTTCCTCTAGTTCCCACGGTGGGGGATTGGCCTGATGTGTAGAATCAGAGCACGGAAGGCAAAGAAACTTGTCCAAGGTCACCCAGCAGGTAACTAGATGAGCCCACTCTCCCCAGGCCAACAGGGGCTGAGCAGGTGGGAAATCACTGGGGAAGCACCGAGCAGCATCAGGGAGGCCTCTGCCAGGTCCTCTGCCCCATTATTCATCCAGTGCCAGGCCTGGCAGGGCAAGGGAAGAGTGAGGGGACTGGCAGGAGGGAGCAGGAAGGAGGAAAGAGGATGCAGGAGAGGCTGAGTCCCAGCTACACCACCCCCAGCCCAGGCCCTTACTCAGGAAACCCCACCCCGGACCCGACACCCTGGGTCAGTCAAGCTGAGCCACAGAGACCGGACATCTTGCCCCTCCCAGAGCACCTGCAGCTTAATAGGAAACAAAGGAATGACTCTCCGGTGGCAGAATTCCAGCTGAGCTTGGAAGGAGCTGGAGGGAGGGTGAGGGAGGCAGGGAGTGCTCTGAAGTTGAAGTCTTGGACTCCCATCACTCCTTTATCTAACAAACATTTATCTGTGCCCACCATGCCAGGCCTGGGGGCATGCTGACACACATCCTATCTGTCCCCTTGGCAGGAGAAGTCTTGGGGTAGCTTTTCCTTCTTTTTCACTCACGGAGAGGGGGGATAACTGATGGGATCTGCCCAGAACTTGGGCCAGTTCCCTCCCATCATTCAGGGGTGCCAAGACAGCCTGAATGTTTCCACAACAAATCCGGCGTCCCTGACAGCTCTCTTGCTCTGAGCCAGATGTACCCACCCAATTCCAGATGTTGGGAGAACTGAGGCTGGGGGGAAGGGTTGGGCCAGCCTCAACCACCAGGGGAGAGCTGGGAATTGCAACCGTCAAGCCCCAAGTATTCAGATTTGGCAACTACAAGACCCCAGGCTCCAGCTACCCTTGCATGGTTCCCATTTTAACGTCCCAGGCACAGCACGGTGGGTGTCATTACTGGCCTTTACAGAGGCAGAAGCTGAAACTCAGAGATGTTAAGCAACTTTGTTGAGGTCACCCAGCTAGTAAGAGGAAGAGTGGGCACTACTACGTAGCTGGGTCCCAGTGGCTCCGATGCAGTGGGCCGTGTCAACCTCTGTGAACAGCTTGGGGAGCAGGAGAGAAATAGGCTCCCACCTCGGCTGGGGCCACCGGGTCCCCAGGCTTCCTCCATTTAAGTCCTACCTCTTGGTTGGCCCCCTCTCTCAATTTGCAAGTGTCCAGAGATGTGAGAATGAGCTCTCCATCAGGACAAGGCTCTGGGGGCCTGGGACGGGGTGGGGGGGGGCTTCCTGCAGCTTTGGGAGGAGCAGATGGGAGACATCCCAGCTCTGTGGGCTTGCTCTGGAAGGAGCCCGGGGCCTCCTTTAGAGAAAATGACTTCCTGGATGCAGAACCCCTCCTGTCACAAGGAATACTAGGCCACTCTCCACCAGGAGTGTTCAAAAAGCAGGCCTCTGACCTTGAACCCATCTCTACCTGGAACTCACCCTAACCTTGAGAAGACACCTTTCCTCTCTGGGCCTCACCTTCCTCGTCTATGAAATGGGATGACAATAAAGCCATTACCAGGGGGCTACTGGAGACCCTACTGCCATACTGCAAGTGAGAGAGAGCGCCGATGCACAAAGACAGGGTTAGCGGGTCACCGTCAGCCCCGATATTTATTCAGCAAATAGCTGTAGGGCCTTCTTCAAGCATTTTGGTTCTCTGGGGACAGTGCTCCAAACAAGACCAAAAATGAACAGCCCCCGAGCGGAGGGCTCCGCCTCCGCCTGCCGGCCAGGACTTAGCCTGCCTGCGTAGAGTCCCCCTCGCTGGCAGCGGGGTCTCCCAGCGTCGCTGTGCGGAGCGGCGCTCGGCTCTGAGGCCACTAGGTGGCGCGCGCTCTCCCTCTACTGCCCCTCGTCCCGGAGGGTTCCCGGCGCGCACCCGGGTCTCCAGAGCGTCTCCTGCTCCAGGCGGGCGTCCCCCAAGGAGCCGCACGTTGACGTACCAGGTGAGGATTGTCTGCGGGATCTTCTTCTCTTGGGGGGCTCTGGTCTCACAACCCGACAAGGGCGGGGGGAAAGGGAGAGATCCGGGACCCTGCCCGGGTATCCAAACTCAGGGAGGAGCCTCCCCCGTGCTTTCCGGCCTGGGCGATGTCCGAGTGTCCGCTCGGCTCAGGGCCAGAGCTCTGGCGTGCAGCCCCCGCCCCTGGCTCCCGTGGGTCCGGCTCCTCAGCCCCAGCTCGGGTTCCGGCGCCGACCCCTCCCAGCCCTCTGCCCGAGTGCAGCCCAGCGCAGTCCGGATCCGTTTCAGGACACTCGCAGCCACGGCTAAAGATAGGAGGACACCTCACCATCTACTAAAAATACGACCCTGAGCCCGGGCAGGGATGGCGGCGGGAGGGCACTCCCGGGTTGGGGGGCGGGGGCTCTGGCGCAGTGTAGAGGGCTGGACCGGGAGTTCAGGTTCGGGATGCGCGGCGCCCCGCAGGCCGAGGGGGAAGCGGGCGTGGCCGCCGGGACCAAGGCGCGGGCGGGAAACATGGTGCAGCCCGAGGCACCCGGGAAAGTATCTACGTGGAGGTGAGTCGGGGGCCGGGTCGCGAGCTGGGATGGGGCGCCTCAAGGATGGGCCTCCCTAGGAGCCGCGGTCGGGCCGCGGAGTCCCGGCCTGAACTCACCTTGAGCGCGTTCAAGCGACTGAGCGGCGGGCGGCGAAAGCTCAGGAGCTGGACCGCGCGGCGATGGGACAGACCTGGGCTGTGAACTTACAGTGCTGACAGTGGCCCCTAAAGCCCCGCCCCCTGCCGCGGAGCCAATGCCGGGACCGCCC